ATATATATTTTAAAAAAAGATTTCAGATATAATTCTATTGTATTTAAATGCTCAAAACCAATTTCATAATTGTGTTAAAAGATGCGTAGGTTATGTTGTTTATGAGTGCATCGAATCAAGCAACCGATGACTTATTTTTGTTAGGGTTTCTATCAATTTTTCGCGTTAACGAGTTGCTTATTGCTGCTGAACGGCGTACACTGTATTCTTCAGGAATTATCGTATGCGACTGCAATAACTTGCGGCTAAATAAAATAGTAAGTGATGACATAATACGGATATATGGTTGTTGGTGGGAACGAAGAGGCAGAAGGATAAAGTGGCCAAGAGAGGAAGTATTCGGGATAGAATCTGATCGCTGTCAAACCACTTCGGAAGCGAATTTGATGGCTAGTGGTGATTGTGTTAGTAGAAGCGAATGTGCTACAGCAAGAGTAACAGAAGGAACAGATAGATCGAATGTGATTAGGTGTGAACTGAGTGGTCGAAGAGTTGCACTAGTGGCTTGTGGATCGTTCAATCCACCAACATTCATGCACTTGAGAATGTTCGAACGGGCTCGTGATTACTTGGAGAAGACACACAATTGCGTCGTTGTTGAGGGAATTCTGAGTCCAGTAGCCGATACGTTTGCAAAAGCGGATTTGATCAGTGCTGAGCATCGACTTCAAATGGTTCAATTGGCTGTGAGAAATTCAACATGGTTGAGGTATACACATACATAAATATACGCGTTTGGTGCAATAGTTTAAATTCAAAATGAAGTGTGTGATAACGATTTTATAAATATATTATAGAGCAGATGGTTGGGAATGTTCACAAGAGAATTGGACAAGAACGTTAAATGTTTTGCAACATTTCAACAAATACTTGGAACGTAAGTATGGTAATTGCTCGAGCACGGTGCGTTTAATGTTGTTGTGTGGTGGCGATGTGGTGGAAAGCTTCGCGAAAACGGATATGTTTGGAAATCGAATTTGGAAACCAGATCATGTGAGAACTGTTTTCAAAACATTTTGCAAAATGTTTTTCAGAACTGATATTGCAAAATATTTTTCATTTCTTCTTCATTCAGTTGGTTGCATTTAAGGACGACGAAGAGGAAGAGGAGATATGCAGTATTTCTCACTGCATGGAATCGAAAGCATATTGAAAAATTTCTTTGAATTCGGAAAAGTTCCAAATCTTTTTCATGAAACACTGACAATTTTTTGCCCTTCATTATGACATTTGACTTGTTATCAAAAAGTTTGACGAACATGTGTTTCGAATTTCTTGCGGAGAAACCACTGAATATGCCACAAATGATGTAGTGTGCTGAACTGTATAGTAGCTGTTGATAATAACAATAATAGTAACGGTAATGCATGATAGTAATTCAGATCGAGCAGATTGTTCGGGATTATGGATTGGTGGTCATCACCCGGTCAAATAGTGACCCTATGAAAACGGTTTATATGGTGGACGTTCTGCGAAAATTGCAGGTATTGATTAAATTATGCATTAACTCTCTTTAAAAGATAACCTGAGGAAAGGATTGAATGACTGAAGTTGAGTGAAATATGCATGAGTTTAGTTACTGAAATAGTTGCAGAAAAATATCCATATAATCGAAGATGAAACATGTCCGAATAATATCAGTTCAACTCGACTGAGGTAAGTAAGTAATTATCAAATGCTAGTTTATTTCACAGTTCATTCCCATATGTTGGTCGTGATGAATATTCAGAGCGGTATATTGCAGAATAGCCATCAGACGTGGCGAATCAATTAAATACTGCACAGATGATGAAGTTATCAATTATATTCAAAGGCATCAACTCTATTCAAAATCGTCCGTTCATCGCTCTTGTCCAACTTCTGTTAGCACTACAGCGACAACTGCTAGTCCTATATCTGATGCTGCGTAAGTTCAGTTTTTCGTCAATATTTATTATTATTGATGAGATAGCGCCGTCCATTCGCGAACTTTTCATGTTTGTGTTAGGTATTGGTAGTATTATCAATCACAATAATCATTCCAGGGGACTGCCAGTAGCACCAGCTACAAAGGTAATGAGCACATCATCAAGTTCATCTCCAGCTTCAACCGATACTGTGATTAAAGGTCCTCCGAAAACACTCTCAGGTCGTTCCCCTCCTGAACCACCGAAACGAATGTCTTCCATTGTGGCACAAAAAAACCTCTTTTATCAACTTCCCGCTGCTGCTACAACGTTACCAGAAGAAAGTGCAGCATCAGAAACTATATGGTATCCATCATTAACGGAAGAACGACAGGATAAAAATGAGGCGAATACGATGATTGATTCAAGAAAGTTATTGTTTCATCAGTTAACTGAAACTGATGAAAAAGTGGTAATTGGTGAACGAGATGAAGAAGAACTACAACAAGAAAAACACGTTTTTAGCGATAATCGTGTTGGCAAATCTTCACGAGAATTATCGTTACCATCAGATATTTGTAAAAGAGATGACATTCGACGTTATCAATATGAAGAGCATTATCCACCATCGGCATCAGCATCATCAGTTTCATTATCTCAGCCAGCGTCATCATTATTAAAGCTCAAACCCATATCGTTGCCCGATGATGATACGAAATTATCGCAAAGAGCAGAAACGTCGAAAAAAGCAACAAGTATTTTAACACCTGCAGAGGAGTGTTGCCTTCCATCAAAGTCTTCATCACTTCCACTGTCTAACCATTCATCTTCCTCCGAACATAGCAATAATCAAAGAAATATTAACGATACTAAAAACGATGCTACCAATCAAGATGAACGAAAAGCGCAACAAGTTGTAGTCGATCACATATCAACTCCATTGCCGAAGCACTTGCCAATGCAATCGCAAACGCAAACACTTATGGGCATCGCTCCGATTTCAACAACCACTGTGAAAATGCCTAATTTAATCGCACCCTCAACACGCTCAATCTCAACACTCCAGCAGAAACAGCCTGCAATCGCGGCACAAACAACGGTTCTGTTTAGTTTAGTTTACTTTTTTTTTTGAATTCGATGACGACTGATCAAGTCCATGATCGAGGTAGCGAATTAGAAAATATGATGAGATATTGATTGAATGTTTGATTTTTAGTGTTATAGTGATGGTTTATCGTTATTGCTGTTATTTGATTGTTTCGTTTATGTTAGAAAAATGATTTCACTTCAGTCATCTGAAGAGGCATGCGCTGTTGGTGTTGGTTCATGGTATCGACAATCATTAGAATCACCTAATTATGATAACGTTACTCTGGATGAATTGTTAGCTGCAAGCACGAGTTGGACGGAATATTTATCTGCTCAGCGAGGTTAATTTCTTTGTAGGCAACCTTAAAGAATGAATTGAATAAGGGATTGTTTAAGATGAGCAACATAGTTATCCAAGACAAAGAACTGAAGAAGCGGGTCTGATGATGAGCAGTGGTTATTCATTGGATAGTGGTGACGTTCACAGCGATACGGCTCGAGAGCACCATCCTCATGGTCATCAACAAACGCATAATTCATCATGTTTGCATAGTGCCACTCAACGACCTCAATTACAACTGCATTATATTGCTAATTCTAATCAAATACCACCAGGACAGTTGATTGCTGATCCATGCGTATCAACTGCTGATACTGATTTTATCACCAACACAGCTCTCACAAGCCGTACAGTCCCTTCACATTGGCGAGAAGGAGTTGAGGTGTTTATTCCTTGGGGTTTTATCCTGAATATTCTGTTCATTTTAAATGCTATTGGATCAGAGTGTTGAATTGGTGATTTCGAACGTTGACTTGGGTTTTTATTAATATTGATCAAGTAATAAGTGTAATTTTAGCAAGCGAGAAGTTTATCGGCTCCACAACGTCGTTCAATTCGTTTTGCGTGTGGTGGTGATCAAGGAATAATGCAAATGGGTTTGAGTACAGAATGTATTAATAAAGTGGACGATGAAGCGTCATGTTCTCGTCGACTTGAACCAACATCCACGGTGAATGAAAGTAGAGGAGATATTGCTGGCGCTACTCCACATCAACGATCACCATCTTTCGGTCGTATATCATCGACTGATGCGAATTTGAGGACAACGTCATCTGACGGAGATGTTGAGCATCAGGGTGTTGATGATAATGATAAGGATGATGAAAGAGCAATGCCCATTTGTGATCAATCAGCAACAACCAACACGCATTCAAGTAGTATTCATAGTAGTAGTATGAGTATGAGCTCACGTAGTGCTATCAGCCCAACAGCTGCCACAGCGAGCAGTTCGGGTGGAGCGAATGTGACGCTTACCTACCGCAAATATAAATTATCAAATACACCTGAAACGACGGTTTAATTCATTGGATTTGATATCAAATTGGTGAATGCATGATGTGTTGATATTTATTGGAATGTTGACATTCAGTTGATATGAGTTTGATTTGTTCTGATTGCTTGCAATCTTCGTATCATCATCATTATCATAATCATCGCCATACTTATTTATCAATTACTGCCATCTTTTCATCAATTGCTTGGTTCAGTTGTTTGTGATTATCAACTTTTAAATTAAGACGACGTTTGAGTTGATGAAAAAAACAAACTGTTACTACATAAATCCTCTTATAACGTCAAAATACGTGCACCTAGATTCAAATTATTACACACATTTTTGAAGTTTGCTCCATTGATGTATTAGATGGAGCCGGAATTGTTGGGTTGTTTTAATATGCGTTTGTAATAATAACTATTATCCACGCACACGGCTGTTTGGTTTTATGGAACATGTTGTTGGTGTGTGTATTTTGTGTGTGTATCAGATTTGTTTACCGTGATACTGCTTCCACAGAGGTTGCCTTTATTTTTTCTGTTTTTATTGTTATCATTATTGTCATCATTATTATTACTATTAAGACTATTATTAACTTTTTAAAACAAAATTTTCGACTCAGTGTCTTTCATAAACCTGTTGATCTTTTGTTTCATTTCCTTCTATTAAGAAAAACTACATTCATCTCATTCACATTATCAGTCAAACTAAAACTGAACAATGCTTTTGAACAGTGGTTACTTTTTGTTTGTTGCTCATTTTATCATTGTTTTTGTATCATCATCAAAACATTGTTTGTATACATATGTGGAGGAGATACATTAATCCTTGAACACGAGATATGAGGTTAGATAATGAATGCATTGTATTTTCGAGTTGATTCCAGCGGATTCATTTGAATTTAATGTTTAAACTTGTAAGCAACTGAATTTTTTCGAGAGACATTGGACGAACCACTTCGAAGCGTCGCTGAATTGGAGTTGAAGTATTATGAATAAGTACATATGTTACAAATGAACCGCATTTGTTACATAGCTGTCGTTTTCAGAGGACAGCTGCCAGTAATACATTTATGATCATATTCTGTTTTTTATTCGTATATTCGTTGTTTGCTTCAAATGAGCTTTATTTTGAACCGGGTGATTATAACCCAGAAGATTCGTTTTTTGTTCAATCATTATTACCTTTAACCTTATAATCATACGATCATGTCCTATTGTTCAATTTACACGTTGTTGATATACATACGCAGTATAAATGAGCATTCATGAGTGCCCATCATTTCCTTCATTGAAATCATTATCGATAGTGTTATTATTATGATTACTTTTAATATTATAAATGGGTATCATAAATAAATCATGATTGGTTGTGTGTTCGTAACTGAGAATACCAATGAATGGAAATACCAATGGCGTTTTGAAGAAGGAACACGTTCTGAGCATTCTCATAAGTTATTTACAATATTTCATTCGAATGCGTTTCAGTTTCGATTGATTGTTTCTTTTTAAAGGTATCGATGCGAGAAGAGAGTTGAATATATTCTCGTTGTGCAAATAACAGAATTCATCGTTTGATTTCGCTTCGCTTCACTTCGATCTGCTTGTTGACTTACTTTTCTATGCTAATTTGCTTTCTTGTTCTATTCAATAACTACTTAAATCAACTGGAAAACAATCTATATAGTTTTATATATATAAATATA